GATATTTGTCCTTCTCTGCCTGACTTATTTCGCTCAGCATAACACCCTCAAGGTCCATCCATGTTGCTACACGTGGCCAGATTTCATTGTTTCTCATTGCCATGTAGTATTCCATGGTATAGATAAACCACATCTTCTTGATCCATTCATCTGTTGATGGACACTTAGGCTCTTTCCATGTTTTAGCTACCCCCACAATTAGCTTTTAAGAGGTCAGTAATTTAACAGAAGTTGTTCTGGGGTTTGTAGAATTATAGTATATTTGTTTACCCCCTCCCCCTCCTTTTTGGTGGTTTCCAGGTTTTTCTCTGTGAGCTTTTTAAAATATTATGTATACTATGAAAAAGTGAATGTTGCTTGAAGAATAGTGAAGTAGTAGCTGTCCTCTTGAACTGACAAGTTTAACTGCTGTTATTGGGGGTTTTATTTTAATAAAAATGTTAGGTGTCACATTTACGTAATAATAAAAACAGCGAACATTTATTGAACTATTACTTATTACCCTGAGCCAGACATTTGGCTACATATTTACCTACCCATTTTCAGTTTTGCAAGATAAGTAATATCCCCATTCTAAAAATAAGGAAACTATTTGGAAAGTGAAGTGAATTGTCCTAAGCCAATAGCTAGAAATGAAGAGGTGAGTCTAAATCTGTTGCAGTGCTGTGTTGAACTGCAGTGTCTCTCTCTCTCTCTCCAAGATCTTTTTTTTTTTTTTTTTTTTTTTTAAGTGTGTATGGGTGCAATTGAGTGACTATAAGACCAGGAAGTAAGGATGTTTGTTACTCTGGGGCAGGCAGCTTTCCCTAAATATCCAGTCAATATCCTGACTTAGTACTACCCAGAATGTTGCCCTGTCTGTATAACTGATCTGAAGCAGTGTTTTCCGTTTTATGAGTGTCCATTCTGAGGCCTTCATGAACCATGTAAGTTAGTTTCAAATTTTCAGAGACTAGTTTTTTTTTTTTTAAGTATACATATTTATTCTGAGAGAGCCTGCACAAGTGGGGGAGGGGGAGAGAGGGAGGGAGGGAGAATCTTAAGCAGACTCCATGCTACCAGCACAGAACCCAATGCGGGGTTCAGTTGGAAATGAGATCCTGTCCTGAGCCAAAATCAAGTCAGATGCTCAACTGACTGAGCCACTAGGTGCCGCAGGGATTAGTTGTTTTTTTATGTAGTTTTGACTTGCTGTCAGTAAGCAAGGATGACTCCTAATCTGGGTTTAAATCTTGGCTCTTCTGAACTTTACAGTGTGATCTTAGGCAAGTTCCTTAGCATCTTTAAAATTTTTTTGCTTTTTGGTGGTAAATTGGTAATAACTTAGTAAAGATTAGATGAATATGAAATTCTTGACAGTGCCTAAGATATGGTAAGGGCTGAAAAACCTTGTGTATTGTTTCTGTAAAGGATTTATGATATGACTGTAGAAGAAGGAGTGAGGTTGCTTAGAATTTTCAAATTCATAGATTTTGTGAGTAGTGTTGAGCTTTGTTTACTATTATTTTGTCATTGGAGGCTCAGGATTGAGTAGAATTCAGTCATTAGGAGAGAAATTGAAATTATATGTCAACACACAGGAGCTGGTATACATGGAATGTGTAAATTTTTTCTTTAAAAATTTTTTTTAAGTTTATTAGAGACAGGCAGGGAGGAGTAGGGAGAGAGAGGAGAGAGAGAATCCCAAGCAGGCTCTGCACTGTCTGCACAGAGCCTTATGTGGGGCTTGAACCCATGAACTGTGAGACCATGACCTGAGCTAAAATTAAGAGTTAGACACCTCATGTCCTGGCCACCCAGGTGCCCCAAAATTTCTAAGTCTTCTACCTGAGTTGAAGAAACTTTGGATTTCATATCAGGGTTAGATTGATGAGTATAAATCAAAATTTAGAATGACTACACACAATTTTTTATTTTTTATTAAAAAATCCCTTTTTTTAACGTTTTATTTTATTTAAGAGACAGAGGGGGACAGCGCAAGCAGGAGAGAGGCAGAGAGAGAGGGAGACACAGAATCCAATGCAAGCTTCCAGGCTTCGAGCTGTCAGCACAGAGCCCAGAATGAGGCTCGAACCCACAAACCCGAGATCATGACCTGAGCTGAAGTTGGTCATGACTGAGCTCCTGACTGAGCCTCCCAGGTGCTCCTGACTACACACAGTTTTTAAA